ACAGCCCTGACGCAGCGCCCGACTCACTGCATCAGAACCTCAAGCTGCTGCTTGGATTGGAGAACTAGCTGCCTCTTCCAGAATTTCCACTTACCGTTGTGATCCTCCACGCAGGCTCCTGGGAAGAGCAGAAAGGAGGTGGTGGTCAGAGTGTAACCAGTGCACGAGAGAGGAATGCACGTCTGAGACAGGTGTGTGCTGGGTGAAACAGCCCTTTAACACACTCTTACCCATCAAGGTGCCTTCAAATGTCTCGTTCTTGAACCTGATGCTGGCGTTCCGGTCGTGGCGGATGCATAATTCCGTATTGGAAACCCTCTCGATGTTGCAGCCCTTCTGGGATTTGATGCCGGCTTCGCACAGCGGCTTCTGCTCTCCCCTCACGTTGAAGCCGGACATATTTTGACCGTGGACTCTGATCTCCAGATACCTGCAGGTGTCTGGAAAGGATAACTAAAATGAGTTTTCCTAAAGCAAAATTATGCTAAAAAGTCAGATTTATTCAGGAACTGACTCATTCTGACCTAACGGGCCTCTGAATCCTGTGTCCACACAGGGACAAGGAAGACAGAGAGGTGGACCCCTGGAGACAATGGCAGCTGACCGTCCTCTACCTCTGCGGGAGCTCCACAGCGCCCGGCAGGTGAGTTGGTGCCGACTGGAGGAGCAGAGCGACCCTCACTGTCGCTGTCCAGAGAGGCTCTTGCAGTAAGTCTCTGGGGCATCAAAAGCTGAGAGGGCCAGGGCACACAGGCACACGCATCCTAAGCCTGTTCCAGAGCAGGACTCGTATTGATGGTGCGAGTGTGTCACCCTCTCGGGGAATCCCGATCCCCGTCAGCTAGGGGCACGTGCCAGGCTGGAACCCGCAGCATCTGGGTCACTGAGCCCAACCAGTGCTCCCCCCACAATATCACATCTCTGGGCTACTAGAGTGATCACGCGAGGAAGGACGATGTGACATTCTTGACAATGCTTCTGCAGTGTTCTATTTGTGGTCAGCGGCCGGCGAACAGATGGGGAGATGAAGCACAATGAGTGGGGACACCACCCCCAGTCCCGCCCCACTCCCCTCTGCCAGGGCTCCCCACTTCTGCTTGAGCCTCTCGGGACCACCCCCCCCCACCTCCACCCCCCTCGACGCTAGGATTTCAGACTGGAGGGTGTTACCTTGGGCGGAGATTATTTCCAAAGTGAGCAGCACAGCTACCAGGACACTCATGTTGTAGTAGCACTTCCTGGGGGAGGGGAAAAGAAAGCAGAGTTAAAAAAAACACATTTTAATTCTCGGCAAGTTTTCTGTGCTCAAGCTTTGTCGACGGCTGCAAATGTAACTCATTGCTTCTGCTTTGGTGTCTGAGCGATCGAGTCTGATCTGAAACGCCTCCTTCCTTTGGTTTCTCTCCCTACCGCAGGGGCGATGATTTTGATCAGATTTGCAAGTCAAAAGCTCTGCTGTCGCTGCTTTAAAGCCTCACCGCCAACACTTCTGGTGAACGTGAGCAAGGGTGGATACCCTGGCACCGCGATCGGGGAGAAAAACACCCACCCCAGGAGCAGGAGAGAGTGATCGGGAGCCAGGGCCCTTTGTCTCTGCTCACGAGCCACAGCTGACACCTCCCTGACCTGCAGAAAGGGTGTGGAAAATAAGAGAACCGAGAGTCACAGGAGTCCCGCTGGCGTTGTCAACCACGTGCCTGTGGGTGACGTTTGCAGGCGATTGGGCTGAGCGATACTCGGAGCGATTGTTTGGCTCTGCAGCCGCTGATGCCTTGTCGGTCACCTTGAAATCTCAGGCGGAGGCGGAAGTTCCTGAGGAAACGGTTATGACGCAATCCCACAATTCCCCGGATTTCCGTGAATGCCGAGGGGAGACGTCAGACAGCCTCCCACACTGCTCTAGTCGGCCCTAATCCGTTTTCAGGTTAAAGAGCGTCTTCCCAAAGTCACTCCTGGTACTTGACTAAAGAGACTGAGGTTGTTTTGGACTTTTTTTGTTGTCGCCTGTTCTCCAAAATTCGCTGTTTATTGTAGGTGAATAGAGATATAGGAATCCCTCAGCACCAATACAAGAAA